GACTATTGTTTGTGATGATTTGTGTGTTTTTAATATTTTCAATATTCTATCTCTTATATTTTTCTTTTGAAAGAGTTTAAATGCATTTTTGTATTTCAGTTCCTCCTGCTGTTGCTTCTAATTCATCTCACGTGCCAGACTGTCTTTATCCTCAAAGCAGTGGAGCATCTCCACACTCCTTGTGTCATTCCTCTTTGTTTCACGTGTCTGATCTCTGCCCCTGTTTTTTTATGCGTCGTTTGTCTTTACGCATTGTTTGGTTCTTTGGATCTCTGGATGGTTCATGGACTCTGTCGTTTTTCCTGCTCCTTATCTACATTTTTGTGCCTGACCTACCTCTGCTTTGTTTAGAAACACTTGGATTTTGGACCTCGCGCCGTGTCTGATCCCTGCATGTGAGACTGCTCTCGCTCTCTTTAACTCTGCTCCTCCTACGTGTGTCTGTGGTGATTTATCAGGATTCATGAGCTGAATGACAGCGAATCTTGTTGAGCCTTTTTTGTGAAAGAAAATCATTTAGTCCTAATTGGTGACATTAGGTTTATTAAATAAAAATAAATAACTACAGTGAGTTGTTATATGGTGTTAATGACATATTAGTATAAAGTGCAATTAACTGCAGTGTTTTTATAAAATCAGTTACTGAGGCCATTTTTGAAACCTGTCAAATACAGACATGGTGCATTCATGGTTGTGTCATAAATTACTACTTCATACACAGCAAGTAATAAAAGTGGTTTTCAAATGAATTATTCAGAAAGAAGGGGCCCACAGACAAATCTCTGTCTCAGAAACTCCATAAGTTAAACTTTGCACAGCTCAGAAAGAAAGTCGGTTGGCTTGTGGCTGTATATGAGCCCAGACATCGTCTTTATGTTTCTGCTGCTTGCTTTGAATGGGCTGTCTCCTACTCGGATCTCTAAACTCCTACGCTCATGCTCAACCCCATATCCCCTCAACTCATCTAAAATAAACCCTTTAGCTGTTCCAGGGAGATGTTGCATGCTTGAGGTCGTAGCCCTTTAATCTCAGAAGACTCTCCCACACTGTATCCGACCTGCTCTCATCACTGACGCTTTAAAAATTGTTTTCATATCCCTTTATACCTTTATGCCTCTGTGTGCATGGCAGGGCTATAAGTGCACCACACTTAGAAAATGTGTTGTGCTTTTGTTGTTGGTCTGGTCTATTGATTGTTTTTCTTCTTACACATAAAAAACTTGGATTCACAGAAAAAGTTCATCTTAACCCAGTTAAGATCGCCTCAATGTAGATATTCTCATGTGTTGTTACTTCCTTGCTTTGCGTCCCTTGGGATGAAACTAAGTATATTTTAAACAAAAAAGAATCAATCGAACAGGGATTGGCTGTATGCTTGTTAAAAATATTTTAAGGTACACTGAGGAAAACTGAGAGTACTTTTATGGCACATAAACAAGTCGGGGTGAAATTAAATGTGTGCGTGTTTGAAAAAGCACTCACTGAATAGAAACACAGCATGATTCCTGTATTAGTTAAATTAAAAAGAATGGTAGTCAAGAAGGAGAAAAAGATGATACATACTTGTAAACAGACCACTCACTAATTAATGGCATCAAAGCAACCAACGTTTTAAATAACTTCCACAGAGAAAGCTACACCGGGGAAGTGATCTACGCACATACAGTCAGAAGTCTTTGTTTTTTAGAGCTTCAGCATTTTGTCTATAAAAAGGTGTAGTAATTACTGATGTGTGTGGTAGGAGCATGACATCAGTTATATTTCCAATCATTTGTTTTGTTTAATTACCAGAATACAATATAATTTACTGCATCTGACACAAGCAGACGTGAAACATCTGGAGAAGCTGTGGAAAGTGTTACTCTACCTGTAACATCATTCAGCATGACCAGTTTGGTGGTGGGTCGGTGATGGTCTTTGGAGGGATATCCACAGACCTCTGCAGGCTAGGCAACGGCACCCTGATATCCATTAGGTATCAATATTAAATCCTGGGACCCATAGTCAGATGCTATGCCTGTGCAGTAGGTCTTGATTCCTGGTGCATGACAATGCCCGGCCTCATGTGGTTAGAGTACACAGGCAGTTCCTGGAGGATGGAGGAACTGATACCATTGACTGGCCCCAACACTTGACCTAAATTCTATATGACATCTCTGGGACATCATGTCTCAGTCCATAAGACGCCACCAGGTTGCACCTCAATCTCTCAAAAATGTGGTTCAGTGATGCCCAGCTCCAAAACGGGGAGGCAATCACCCAGGACACCATCCGTCACCTCATTATGAGCGGCCCCTGATGTTGTCAGGCATGTTGGAATCATACAAACTACTGAGTTGCTGCAATAAAATCAGTAAAATGTACAAGCCTGCAACATTTTTTTACTTTGATTTTCAGGGTTTCTTTGAATTCAAACCTCTGTAGGTTTATAATTTCCATTTCCATGAAACGATGTGGATTCGAGTTAGTGGATGCTGAATCTCTAAAGCTGCTTTGTTTTACCTCTGTTTCCTTTACAGTGTGTGCTGCCTGCTTCACTCAGTCTGTAAGGATCAAGTTGATTACTAACTGTACTTCCTCCAGTGGCCACTTGAAGTTGGCTATATGAATCAGCAGACTCCAAAATAAAAATCCCAACTTTACAGCATTTAAAATAATATTTACAGTCGATTAATGAAAACTATTTTGGGCTCCGTGCTTTTTCCATAGTAACTGTGGAGGGTTAAGTTTTTAAAAGTTATCCATGTGGATACTGTGTATGCTGTGGCTTGCATTCACTAATTGGAGTCACTGAACTGAACTTCTCCACCAAGTTTGTGCCGTTGTTGCATTTTTCACCCTTTTTTTAATAGCGTGTCTTAGAAGTGTGTGCTTAAGTATTGATGTGTGAAATTCTAGTATTTTTATTAGGTTGTTATTTAGCACTAATTACCACATACGCGTATCGCCGTCTAACACTGCAGCTTACAATAGCTAACTTTTAACATAGCGGCCTATCCTGTCATCCAAACATGGTCGCTTCACAAAATTAACACAGTGATAGTCAAAAAAGCAAACTTTAAGGTGTCACAAACCAGTGGGCGACTTTATTTATTTTTGCATCCATCATTTATATACAGTCTATGGTTCATTTTCAGTATTCAGTTTTTGGTGGATATAGTTGTCTTCATGTTCACCCAGAAAGCTGAGCTCACCGTCTGGGACAAGGCAATGTGAACTGCTTTTGAATTAATATACTGTAGCTGTGCAATTTTGGAATCTGACTATCATAGTTGACAGTTTGGCTGTCCACACTGATTTCCATGCATTTTAAAAAAACGTTAATATATATCTATTGTGTATGGAACTAACTCATTTTATAATCTAAAACATGCAAGTTTAACATATATGCCAAAAAAACCCAACACAACAACAACAACAACAACAACAACAACAACACACTTTTCCACAGCACTTTTCTAGTCAATTTGAGCATGCAAAGCACTTTCTTACTACAAGCATCATTAACACAAGTGCTTTATTCTGTGTCTAACCACTTTACCTAACATTCACACTCACTCCAATGGATGCATCAGGGACAACTGAACAAGGGTTCAGTATCTTCCCCAAGGGCACTTTGGCATACACACTAGGGAGCCAGGAGAAGTCTGGTGCAAAATAAAGGCTACTTTTAAGTATAAATATATTAATTTTTTCCCAAAAATTACAAAATGAAAAACTGAAATAACAGATCACAGAGCTGCTTCTTTGCCAATAAACAGAAATTTACTTTTTAGTTCTCTGGGACTTCACTGAAATACTTTTACAGAAATATATGTTCATATTTTCTTGATCTCATCTGATGGGTATCCCTCTGCTGAACAAAGAGGAAGGCATATGCCGCAAGCAATCAAAACCACTAATACCATCAGAGCTTACATTACTGAATACATAACAGAGCCAAGCAGACAGACACACACATACACACACACCAGAGAGGCAGAGTGTAATTATTCAGCACCTCACCAACAGTCAACATGCTGTCAAACTAGAGAGATTAAAAATAAATAAATGCTGTAAACAGTTGCACAGCAGAGGCAAAAAATAATTCCACTCTCCATTAGTATGATGGCAAGTATTTAAGAGCAGTTTCAAGGTTATATCGTTACCTGAAGGTAAGGGCTCTCTCAAAGTCATGATGTGTCTTTTCAAAGTGTGAGACACTACTCCAGCATTTCTTAGGTTTATGATCAAAGAATATTAATCTAATAAAAAAAGCTGCAGTGTCACAGAATCACTTACATGCTCTAGCTTGACCAGCTGTAACAATAAAATGTTTGTGAACACTGATAAATTGTCTGTCTGTATTTATTCTGTTTGCACTCAGGATTGTTGTAACTTCACTTAATTTTTCTTTTTTAAATTCCCTGGTTATGCACTTGGAAGCTAGAATTTTGCAATATCCCTTTTGCCTTTGGCTGACCTTTTGTCAGTGCTACAGCGGTGATGTGGATACTCATGTGTATTTCTGCATAAGAAACATTCGCTGCACATCAATAAGAGGAAAAAAATCTCTTAGAAATAATATTTAGGTTTTTTGTATTTTAACTGCTTTTTTGTAACTCAGTTTTTCAAATGACTAGTTAAATCTACCTGGATCTGTGTTAAAAAACAATAATGAAATGTATCCAACCATGCAAACTGAAAGATTATTTTTTTAATTAATAAATTAGTTTGTTTGAGACTTTCTATTGTGTGTAATGTAGGTTTTTATTCCCCGCTTTATTTATGTATTTATTTATTACATTTGTATTATTATTTTTTTACATTTCTTACATTGTTTATTGCGTATTTATTAAATTTAACTAAAAGCAAATCGTAAAGGACCGTTTTAGTTTTAAATTGTTGGTATTTTTATTCACATAGGTAACAAAACCCTTCAATTTATTACAATTTCTTTTAGTCTTTATTTTTCATTCTTTGGGTTTCACTGTTACCATAGTAACTGATAGTAACGCATTGGTCCGTCCAGAAAATCAGTTCGGCTCTTGGTCCGTTTCTAAAACCATCCGTAGTGAAACAAATAGGTGTTTTTCGGTTGCAATAGTTTGACTGCAGGGAAAGGAGATTGGCTAATTGTAAACGTGGGGTATGGATAAAGTTTGAAAATCAAGATTACCTGATAAATACTTGATAACGAGTTTTACTCATCGGCGTTATATCAGCCTGGCATTGTGTAAGCAGAAGAAAAGTGACTGATGCCGTGCCGACTGTAGCGACAAATTAATGTTAACAGGTTCGACGAGGTGGAAACTTGGCTCAAGCTAACTAGAACAACCTGTACTGGTGTGGTTTAACAGCATGGACCCATTTGTAAAATTCACAAGTCAGAGTCAGGGAAGGGACCGCATATTCAGGTGAGCTTTTCATCGCTTTTGTAACCAGCTCGTACAAACGTTACTTTATTTTCTTGATAAAAACGGGAAAGTTACCGCATGACTGTATCCTTCTAACTTTCCCCCTTCATCTGCTTCTTGTTTATTTTAGGGCAGCTCAGTATGCTTGTTCACTCGCTGTTTATTTACTTCGAAACAACTCTGACAGAAAGGACCTTGTGGCAAAACTTAAAAGTCTGGAAACCAGCTTGAGCGCTGGACGAAAATGTGAGTAACTGTTGAGGGAGTTAGGAGGCGTTCAGTGGCTGCGGTTAAATTGGATTTCAGTTTCAAATCCACTGTGTGGTTGTCCTAATTTATTGCATTGGTTTCTGTGAACATGGGTGGTTCTAAAAACTGTGATGAATTCAAAGAGCTTATTTTATTTTTGACCATCAGACAGAAATACAGTTATTCAAACTAAACAAACGCATCATACATTTGGTTAACAAATGACTTGAATCTTGTCTCTCTGTTGAGTTTGTCTATGAGCACTGTATTTCTTCATCATCAAGGCCAGTAATTCTGCCAAGGAGTGCACAAATGGACATTTTTTTCTTTTCTTGGCAAACTGTCTACTTAAAACTTAGACAGTGTTGTTCTGTAGCTTTCTCTTTATCTCACTGTAAGCTGGGATAAAATCTGCACCGACTGTTGCTGCAAATGACGGTAATTCTGATAAACGTACCACTCATAGATGTGCTTACTTTAGAATTCATGTGGAATTTGACACATTTTGTACCTTGACATTTGGTAGCTTTAGTATGAATTAGGTAAAGACTGAAATGAAACAGGCTTTGCATGGAAATTAAGGATATGGCCGTGCCTTAGAGCAGCTTCTTTTGTTATGCCGCAGCTGAGCTGTGTTAAGACCAAGGCCAAGATCTGTTTGTGCACCAACTAATGATCTCTTTAAGGAACTCTGCTGCCTCTAGGGCTGGCCTGCCTGTCTTTGTGTTTCTGGGTGAAGGGTCATTTATGACTCCCAATTTAAAATGTGATAACGTGTTGTGAAAGGTTCAAAAGTTTAAAATGAAGACACTGGGGTGCATTGATGTTGTTCCAGTATGTAAACATAGATAGGCAAATAGTGAAAAGATGCTGTAGTTAATTCTCTGTGTACCTTAACTGTATTTCCATCTGTTGTGGGCTGCTATAATGAAGTGTTGACCTGCCATTTCATATTAAATTGATTACTGCTCTAATACCCTTTCATGTCCTCCTCCTTTGTCAGTGCTCAGGCTGGGAAATGCAGCAAATTCCATTGAGGCTGCTAAGCGAACCGTGCAGCTCTCGGACCGAGTGCTGCGCCTGTGCCTTACTGTGGCCAACGTGAGCCGCACCCTCTACTTTATCTGTGACAATGTACTTTGGGCCAAAAGTGTCGGTCTTATCCGCAATATCGACAAGGAACGCTGGAGTTTAAACTCCTTCCGCTTCTACTTCTTCTCATTAGTTATGCATCTCAGCAGAGATGTTTATGCGGTTCTCCAGGTGATGACAAAGAGGTCAAGAGATAAAAACTTTAAAGAGAGAATGGATCAGCATCTCACTGAGAATCCTGAAGTAGCTGAAGTTGTCGTCCCTCACCTGGATGGCTTTCTCTTTCTGCTTTTGGAAACCCTGAAATCACACCCGGACCTTGCCTTGGACTCTGTGAAAAACATCTGTGATCTCTTCATTCCCTTAGATAAGCTTGGTTTATACCAGTCAAATGGGGGAGTGATCGGATTCTGTGGTCTGATATCATCGCTGATTGGGATTGTCACCCTCACACAGCCCAGGCTAAGGATTGCACCGTGATGACACGGGCAAAGTTAAATATTACAAAGCGATTACAGATCAAAGAGTTAATCACGTCAGGTGCGTTCAAGAGGTCGCTGGAACTGTAATGGTGGACAGAGGTTAAAAACAAAACCAGCACATTTTACAATCCCTGAGTCAGTAATAACTAATGGACTTGCACTTTTTTAGAATTACTGGATTTCTCTGTTTTGCACAATATCTGGAATTAATTTTGAAAGGGAGCAAATCGAGTCGATATAGAAACTTTGTCTATTTGTTGTACTTTAGAACATCCAATGACAGGTACTTTTGTATTCCAGTCTTGCACAACACCAGCTGTTTTACACTATAGTAGAAAATAAGGGCTACTTAGTGGTTATGAAAAAGAAAAAAACTTACTCTGTCACTTCTAAGTTCACTGTTTTTCTTTTTCTAAACTCTGCTTTGTACTTAAAATGAGGCAAAACTTGCAGCACCAGTTTCAGAGATTTTCTTCGGTTTTTTTCTTCTGGCGTTGGCTGAACGTGAGTAATTTATAGGATGTATGTTACGAATAGAAGGTGGGTATGTTTGAAAAATGAATAAAACTATGCAACAATGTTTGTATTATAGAGAGAGTCACCTTTTAAACATTCTAATAAGAACATATCTGTGAATTGAATAGTCGAGACACAGAAACTCACCGGTCACTTTGTTAACTAGACGTGTTAAACTTCTCTTTAACGCAAATGTCTAACTCAATGCGTTTAGTTGTGTAGACGTGGTCAAGACGAACTGTACAAGTTGAAACTGACCATTAGAATGGAGAAGAAAGGTGATCTAAGAGTGGCACTCTATGATTCTGTCATAGCCTTGTGCTTCTATATCTGTAGTTCAGAGTCAAATACAGGAGTGATTAGCTCCAACAAAATGATGTGAAGTAAATATCCAATGATGCAGTTCTCTGGGGATAATTGCCATTTGGTGCCAGAGACGAGGGGGATGTCCAGATTGCATTGTGCTGATAGGATGGCAATGTTAACTCAAATAACCACTTGTTAAAACCAAAAATCGTCTCTCCCAATGTACAACACATAGACCCTTTAAGCATTTAAGATGGGCTACAGCTGCAGAAAAACACACCAGGTGTAACTCCTGTCAGCTAAGAACAAGAAACTAAGGCTCCAGTTCACACAGACACAATACAATTGGGCAAAATTATTCTGGAAAACGCTGTGTTTGAGTCCAGATTTGTCAATTCAGTTCAGTTCAAGGCCTTGAGGCACTTTATACTGCAGGGTAAAGACCCTAAATAACACAGAAGAAACACCAACAATCTGAACCATGAGCAAACACTTTAGTGACAATGGGACATAAAAAAAACAAAACTCTTTAACAGGAAGAAACCTCACCTACCAGAAACCTGGGCACAAAGATGCCATGTGGAAGAGAACCAAGGATTAATAATATAACTAATGATTAAATGTAGAGTGGTGTATAAATATATATATCAAACATTCAGATGCAGGGTCAGAGTTTGCATAAATAATAAAAACACATGGATTCATCCTGTATTAATGAGGCTGGTATGTAACCTACAACCACAGTGTACTCTGATGACTACTTGTAAAATAACATGCCAGGCAGCTCCGAAGGCAAAAGTACGTCTAACCCACTATTCTAAGGAGCTTGGAAAGAAAAGCGTCTGGACTTTTTTAAGTTTCTTGAAGACGTTTAACCTGTAATCCGAGAAGCTTATTCAGTTCTAAGAGCAACTGGTGTACGCGTGGCACAGCAAAGAAGAGCCATCTCAACGGGACAAGATTCAGCTGTTCATCTGCACCTAAAGGACAAACGTCACTCTTTCCTGGATGCCAATTTTCACATTTTGAACAGAGAAGACAGATGGTTTGAAAGAGGAGTGAAATAAGCCATCTATGTCCACTGTGAACGGCCATCTTTGAACAGAGGTGGTGATTTGCACACCAACTGTCTGCCATCTATAATCCTGTTTTGAGATCCCTTCCCAGACACCTTAACGCCCACTCACATCAGTATATCACATGATAGGGTGGGGCTAGGTTTCACTATGGGTTCATCAGAAACCTTGGCTGATTGTGACCTACACCCGTTTTCACACCTTGGCTCCTGTGATTAGGTAGGGGATCAATAGGGCTTAAAATCTGGGACTCTACAACAGTTGCTCTTAGAACTGAAGAAGCTTCTCGGATGAGAAATGGAACATCTTCAAGAAACTTAGAGAAGTCCAGACGCTTTTCTTTCCAAGCTCCTTAGACTACAATGACCTGGATGACTGCAACCTTCACAGAAATACGTCTAACCCAGTACTGCTTTGTTTTTAAAGCAGACGCTTTAAAAACTGTTCAAAAATGGAGCAATACTGCCCTCTTGAGGAAGTATGACGCACTGTTGAATTGAAAAGACCTTTATTTTTCAATTTCACCGAGACAATACACATTTTTCTTGAAAGCTTTTCTCAAGAGGATGACATGATAACGCATCCACAATCAAAAATTGCAAAAATATATCCTGTTTCCCTTTCATCGTACTTGGGTTTTGCTGTATAAAGAATGAACAAACTATGCAGAGATGAATTTAATAAAAGAACAAACACAGAACATAATAAATACATTTGCTCTCCTAGCTAGATCAAATGCAGTGATTTCTAAAAGAAGAAGAAGAAGAAGAAGAAAAAAAAAGCATCACACAACATATCATCACGGCTTTTTTTTTACCAGTACCAAATAATATGTGGAAGTGGGTTGCCAGGTTGGAATCAAAACCAAAACATAAAAGTCCAGGCTGTTCTTTCAAATGCACATGTGAGCAAATATCAAGCAGCTTCTATAATTTTGGAAAAATCCAGCTTGTCCTAACTGGAATAGTTACGCATTTCAAAAGGCATCTGAGATTAACTTTATCAAAAAAAAAAGATGAAAAAAGCACTTTGAAAAGTGGCACAGTGTTAAACTACAAATTTATAAATACTGCAGCCCCAAGTGTCCTTTTTCCAGAATACCGATGATGGTTATATGTAGAATCACTCTGCTCTTTGAATGAAAGGCACCTTTAGTAGTTAGCTACTGTGACAGTACAAAAAACAGACAGCACTTGAAAAGCACCTTAAAAAAATCAAAGGTGTGGTTTGCCAAAAACACATTTAAATAAATGGAACATTTATCTTCATGATACTGTGATTTTGCCCAGGAAGTTTCACCTCTTCTACGGTTTATTTGATCATTGTAAAAGGTTCTTATTTGTAAGTGTGAAGCCCTTCATTTAATAGAAATAGTTAAATTGCGACTTTAAACTCTCGTGATCTAGCTGGTGCTCCATCCTGCCAACAGTAGAAACATTTTAGTACCTTTCTTGTGCCAAATACAAATAAACTGTTTTGTATTTTTAAGAGCCTCTTGTGTTTTATTACCACTGAAGCATCTGCTGCTTTTTTCTAGTACCAGCACAAATGCTACGGGTGTTTATCGCGTATTTGCTTGGTTGCTCAAACCAGTAAATCTTAAAGAGATCTGGTCCTGAGAAGATAACCAACCAGGCACATTAACTAAATGATCCCTTTTCTGTGTACTGGGGCTTAAGGAATCTAGTTCTGGTAATACTGAATGTTCAAAGCTGGTGCTTCCTGGGCTTACAATTTTCCCCTTCCCCAATCATCAGTGCAGATAAATGTATCTTTCTTGGAAACTTTCATATGTGCCGAGACAGAGGAAATGTTACTAGTCTAAAATCCTTCAAATATATCAGAGTACTGAATGAATTAAAAAGAAACAAAAAAGTGATGATTGCAAAATAGCAAAAAGACCCCACCGTCTATTTGCACTGACAGAATCAAGAGGACCTTGGTTTTGCAATGATTTCTGCAAATATTCCTCCTGATAGTGGTGCTTGCTAGGATTGGACGTGATTATCTGACAGATAACGAAACGACAAATGAAGCTAAAAATACAAAAACAACACAGATAAGACAACTGCTGCACAACACCTATCCAGTAACTGAGCTATCCTTCAAACTAAAAAGACATTTACAGAAACAGTCTGAGCTGGTTAAGCAGAGACAATTTCAGAACTGGGGTACCAGGATTGTGGAAATGTCAGACATAATGTACATGTCAAGGCAAATATTGGCTTCATTCTATCATTTTTAGCCACCTTTAAGACAACTGTTGTTAGTATAGCTACACTGATACAAATGTCCAGAGAATACTGAAATCTGATCTGCTTATTTGCACTTTAGGCTAATTCGGGTGAAATAAAATGGCAGGTGGTGGTTAAATGAAAACATCTAAAAGTCTCGCCAGCAGCCACTAGAGGTCAGTCTGCTCCTTACACGCAGCCGAACCAGAGTGGTTTGAACTTAGTGAGCGACCTACAGTGCCATACTCCCTGTGGGGCTAACAATTACACAGTAAAATTTATAAAGGCTTTGCTGTCGCATTCAGCAGAATAATATCAAAATGTAACACCCACTCAAGTGAATTATGCTCTCACCCCATTTTTTTTTTTAAATAACCAAGGTGTAAACACAGAATGCTCATGTATGTCAGTAAACCTGTCACAAAATAAATTGGGAGAGATTTCTGAATCAATAGTTGTTTTTTTCCTCACTAGACACTAAAAGGCAGTTCTTGGTACTGTAGGCTACATGTGGGTGAAAGTGACAGAAACTGTGCACAAGCACTTTCTCAAAAAACCAACGTTATAGCACTGCGAGGAGTCGTTTTGTGGCATTTCAACATTTCTCAGAAATGAAACAGTACGCTAGCAGAAAGCTACAGGACAAAATCCATCATTGAAAAAGCCTAAAGAAGCAGATTTTAAAGAGAAATCGACTTTTCAGGGTCTCAATCCTGCAGAAAAGGTGTCTTGTGTTGTTGTTGTCTCGTCGTAATGAAATATAAATTAATTAGTAAATTATGATCTAGTCTAAAGAGAGAAACTGTTCATGGCACGGTCCTATCGCTGTCAATATGGGATCTGATCATTGACTGATCAATCATCATTTGACTTTCAATCAGCAAAAAGCGCATAAATTTCTCTATTTTTAAATATAAAGACTTTAGTAGCATTTGTTTCCCCTCTAGGACTGATTGTACCATCACTTTTAATACTTAAAAATCAACACTTTTTTTAAGGTTTTTTTTTAGTTCAGATGGGATAAAGGAGAATTTTTAGGCTGGAATGATCACACCCATTGGCTTTCACCGTGTCACGTTTTACAGCAGAAAGAATCCAGCGGCAATCACAGCTGTAAACCAGATGGTGTCGAAGGGTAACATCGGATCATGAGTCCGTGGTCTCGGCCCGCTTTTTGGGAAAAAAAAGAAAAAGAAAAAAAGAACCTCGCTCCTCGATTACATCAAGACCAAGGAGTAAAGTGAATAGTGTCTCAGCGGCTTCAGGACCCATCCGGGCAGTCTTTGGGTCCGTTAGGAGTCTTTTGGTCCAGTCGTATTACACCCTGCCGAAGGGCCGAGGCCGATCACTACGAGAGTCCCTGCGCTCTGTCGTATTCTGTGATCAGGCCTTTGATATGCGACAGTTTCTTATGGAGGTACTCGCATCGCTTTTTCTCTTCCCGATACCCAGGAAACTT